TCACTCGTACGCACAATTTAAGAACAAATCTGTGCGTACGAACGGTTCTTGCATGAGGCCCAATGAAACTGCACTAATTCAAAAGCTATAAAACTAAAAAAAATATGTGAAAATTTTAAGTTATAACCTTTTATTTTGTCTTCTGCTTATTTTGTTGTTGCTTTCTTTTAACCTGTTACTCTCTCACTCTTCGAGTATATTACTGTTTTTGAATGTATACTGCTATTTTGTAAATGAAGTTTATTAAAAAAACATTTATTTTAAAAAAAACCTCTCTCTCTCTCTCTCTCTCTCTCTCGCTCTCTCTCTCTCTCCATCAAGTTGTTTGAAGGTCAGTTTATGGAATACATTTAGTGCTAATTTACCACATTACTTTTTAAGAAAACTATGGGTAAAATGTGTTAGATGAGAAAAACAAACTGAAGTTAACAGAGAAATTAGAGGTGATGGGGTGAGTGGCACTTCATAACTCAGGGATCCATTATGCTTCAGGACCTTGGAAAACACTGGATCTGTGTGCAAGTTCTGCTTTACACAAATAATAATAATTTAAAAAAATCTTCAGTCGTAAAGTATTTACAACAGATCACAAAAACCAAAGGAAGTACAGTAACCTAACGTGAACATGGACCTAAATTCCTAGTTGTAACGTTGGACTTGATTTGATAAATATTTATTTTAACTGTAAAATACAGACTGTAAAAATACTGTAGGCTGTTTAGTTTTTATAATGTTTTAAAATATATTTTAACACGGACAGAGCCGTTTTATTTACACGCAAATCATTCTGGGTAAATGATGACGTGGATAGGTCCGGCCTTTCCCAATCGGTGGCTACACCCTCGCCCTACTCCCTACACACTACACTCGCTGTGAAGCCCCCCTCACAGCTGAACTGAGTGCCCTTGATGGCGCTGGATACACCCTCCTCTTTTGAGACGGCTCTCCTCACACCAGAGCAGGAAGCTGTCCTCACCATGGGGAGTCCAAGCTCTGGCAGCGAGTGAATGCTGGAGAACAAACGCTGTAAGATTGTTTAGAGGATGTGTTTACGTTTAACGTTTAAATTGTTTATTCATTTCATTTAAAACCAAAAATTTTGTACACATTTAAAACAAAAGATATACACAACAAAAAATATTCACATCAAATTGAAATGAAAGGAGGCAGAAAGAAGAAAAAATCTTATAATATCTGCCCCTTTTTTCTATAATTAATTTAAAGCAATAATAACTAGGAAAAGAAAAACCAAACAAAAACAAAATAAAAACTTCAATTCATTCTCAAACAACAACTTATATATACATTATAGAGTTTCATATTTCTTTAACAAACTCATTTTTATCTTTCTCTTAAACAAACACATTGAACTGTCATTTTTATAATCACTTTCCACAGTATTCCACAATCTTATTCCCTGAACCAAAGTACGTTGGTCCTTCAAGTTTGTTTGATGTTTCACAAACATCTCAAGTCCTTTAAGATTATAACAACTTTCTCTCTTAAAGGGATCCCCGATTAGATGTAAAATGAGACTTTATTTGATAAACATTTATTTTAACTGTAAAATAAAGACTGTAAAAATACTGTAGGATGTTTAGTTTTTATAATTTTTAAAATAAAAGTTTAAAAATATATTACACGGAGGGAGCCATTTTATTTAAACGCAAAGCATTCTGAGTAAATGATGACGTGAGGTCATTGG